AAACTATAAGTGACCTGAGAGCTCTGAGACCAATTGTTTTAGTAACAAGAAAATATCTATTCATTCATTTATAAAATTATCTACATATTAAATAAACACATTAAAAACTTAATTATCTAAATAGAATCTAGTTTTCTAATTCATTGGAGTAATAACAACTGGACCTTGAAATGAGTATTGTTCCATAAACAAGATTTTAATATATATTACCTTTTGCAAGGAATAATACCATACTCATGGCTGCAACACAATGAAGTTTACCATTTTCTGTGTGTGGATGACAAAGAGACTGAGGATAGTCTCAAATTAAGCATTTTGAGAACAACTATCTATCGTAACAGCTGGTATTCCTAAATTGACCTTCAAACTTGGTTTTACTGGCACCAGGACAGACTTAATATATGTGTTCTTTCACTTAGCAGATTTCAAAAACTATTTCCCATGGTTGAAGTAACACATCTTTCAAGACATACTTAAGGAACACAGTATTTAGGGAAGAAACTGATTTATGTAAGTTGTATGTACACACAGTGCCTGTTGACCTCGCAATTTTCCTTTTAGACATTTTACTCTATTAACAAAGTGGAATATCCCATTTGATATCAACAATCAACACCTGAGTTCATTTAAAAAACAAAATGTCAGGCCTCCCCTGGTGGCACAGGCAGTTGAGCACTGGGTTGCGAAGCTGCCTGCAGCCTCTGCAGTGCCAGTTCCATCCCCGCCTGCTGGGCGAGGGTCCCACATGGCTCGGCAGACCTCTCCTGTACACCCGCTGCTCCCCTCAGCAGTGTATTTCATCAGTCTGCCTGTTCTATTCCCTGCTCTGTCTCTGGTGAATCCTCTCATCCTCCCATGAATCATCCTACCAAGGTTCTTATATAAATAAATAAAAATAAATCTTTAAAATAAAAAAAAAGTGTCAAAAGACACTTTGAGCAAACTAAGGCATTTTTTTCATGTGAACAGGTGAAATGCACACCAGTACATATATACAGTCCCTGATTTAGGATTTTTTGACTTTATGATGGTGCAAAAGTCACATACACTCAGTAGAAACTGTACTTTGAATTTCAAATGTTGATCTTTTCCCAGACTAGTGATATCAGTATGATTTCTCCTAATGTGGGGTACCCTCAGTAGCCACAGCTCCCGAACAGCCACGTGACCACAAAAGTAAACCCTGATAGTCAATACAGGTCTGTGTTGCCAGCGCTTTTTGGATACTGTGTTTTGTGTTTTTAAATTCCATTGTGTCTACAAAACACCCATCTGCCTCTGAGATACTGAGCATTTCATTATAAAGTAGGCTTTGTGGTAGGTGGTTTTGTGGGGTAATGTCAGTGTTCTGAGCTTATTTCAGGTAGACCAGGCCAAGCTATAGGGTTTGGTTGGTTTGGTGTAAATGATGACGTTACATAAATTATGAATGCTGGGTTTATGAGAACATAATTAGAAGTTGAGGAAATTCTGAGACCATAGAAATATAAACTTACAAACACAAAGATTAGTTTCATACATAAGAAAAATAGGGTCTTTCAGATCTCATTAAAGAGAATGTTAGACCTTATATGCCTCAAATTTTTTTCATTTTTAATATTTATTTATTTATTTATACAAGCACTGGGTACAGTCAGAAGCGCAGGAGGATGAGAGAATTCACCAGAGACAGAGTAGGGAACAGAACAGGCAGACTGACGAAACACACTGCTGAGGGGAGCAGTGGGCGAGGCAGGAGAGGTCTGTCGCGCCATGTGGGACCCTCGCCTGCAGCCGGGGATCAAACTGGTGCTGCAGAGGTTGCAGGCAGCTTCACAGCCCAGCGCTCAACCGCTGTGCCACCAGGGGTGTGCCTCAAATTTTAACTTAGCCATGAAAGTTACAGTGTAAAAGACAAATGCAAATCAAGTGAATGCTTACTGGTTTGTCAATCAAATTATAATTAAATAATCAATAGGGGGGAAGAATTTAATATTAGAGATTAAGATCAGAATCCCAGCCATTCTACTTAACCTGTTATGCAAACTTAGGCAAAGCCACTTCTCAAGGTCTCAGTTTTCTCATCTATAAAGTGGAGCAAATATTTATTATCTGAAGCAGATAAATACTAAAGTCATATTTGACTTTAAAAAGCCAATGCTACTTTTAAAATAGGTTTTCCAATGACATATATTTATGGATCTATATTTCTTTTCTGCAGACCCATATGAAACATTTTTCCCTACCAAAATTATGATGAAATTGCTTGAGGCATCATCATAAGGATTAAGGCCCTAGTGGATTTAATAATTCCACTCATAGAATCACAAAAAAGGCATTACCAAAAGCCATAAAGACCACTAAATGTATGCTATCATAGACATGTGGAAGAAAAATCCAAATATTGTTGGAAAGGAGATTAGGCCTCCAGACTCTAGCTAAATTTCTTTTTAAGCTATTTTATGAAGTAAAATACAATTAAAAGTATTTGACTCAAGGAGAGAGTTAATGAAGCCAAGGTCACTGGTTCAGTTCCCATGTGAGCCATTAGCTTTGTGTCATTCCATTGTCACAGACTTACTACCCTCTCAACCCCGATCTCCACCCTCAAATACACACTGAGGTGATAAAGGAAATTCAGTGAGACTTTGGATGTATAAGCAAATCTATCCCTTCTGCTAGAACTATAATTCAAAGGTCAGGCCAAGAGACTGGACAGTCATATAACTATGGACAGACCAGGGGGTCATTATGTTTTTTTCATTACCACCATCATCACCATCAGCATCGTAGTGAAAGGAGCAGACTCTGAAACCCGACTGCCTAGGTTTGAAACTGACATGGTGACTTAGACAAGATATTTAAATCTTAGAGCCTTGTTTTTCCTCATTTTCAAAATGGAATTAGATTAGAAGCTTAAAGTGTATTTGAGAGGAATGAATGAGCTAGTCCATCTAGCAAATTTCAGACAAAAATTAAATATTCAGTAAATGTTGTCTTCATTATCTTTTTGTTGTCTTGGTCATGTAGACTTTTAGCCCTTTCTAAAAACCAAATGTATTTATTTCCTAGTTTCCTAGTTTTAAAACAACTTCCTTAAAATGACATGTTATTTCCTCACAGTTCTAGAGGCTACAAGTCCAAAATCAAGGTGTTGTCAAGACTGGGCTCCCTCCAAAATTCCTTAAGAGAAAAATACTTAGCAGCATCCACCTTCCACCTAGCCATGATTCTTCCTGAGCTCCAGGCAATGTCACCACAATTTCAGCCCTGTCTTCACGTGGCCATCTTCTCCCTCTGTGTCTGTGTCTCTGTATCAAAATTTCTCTTTCTTTTATGAAGATATCAGTCCATTGGCTTTAGGACTCTTCCCAATCCAACAGGACACCAAGTTATGCCAACCTGCTTTTACCAGAGACCTGCCCTGCATTAGTACCTGTCTCCAGTAACCGAAAGAAACCAGAGAATTTTTGCTTTTGTGAAAAAAGGTGAAAAGCAAAAATATCAGTTAGAGTCCTAGTTTTGCTGCTATCTTTGTAGAGACAGAGCCCTCAATTCCTTCCTGGGGGATGACTTTATGCAGGCTGTGTCTGTATCCTAACATTACTGCTTTTACTAGATGCATTGTGATTTCAGGTTTTGTATTAATTGGTTTGATTTAATTGGTTGTTTTGGGGACCTGGTAATGCATGAAAAAATTTCCACATAAATGATTGGTAATTGCTTCTTTGCTTTACACCATTTCTGCTTATGAAAGATTTCACAGAAACAATACTTTCAGAAAGTGGGGCAAACCTGCATTTATTTGGAGTAAAGTGGTAAATATCTTCCACCAAATCACCAAGTTCTTAACTCCAGCTCCAGTAACAGATAAACACCCTTACATATGGCTAAGGCAGAGCCTTGCAAAAATATCTGTGGGCCACAAGTCAAGACAAACCAACTTACAAAGGTGATAGCAAAATTCTCTGAGAATCCTCACTTCATTTTGATCAAATCACTTAATACAATCCTGAAATGACAACATAGCCTTGTTGTCATGACCAGTAAGTTGTGACTTATGGAGAAAATGCCCATAGAATGTGAGGTGTGTGTTGGTGAGCTATTAAATCCAGATAAGGTGCCAATATTCTAGGTCAGTATTTTCCTGATTCCTGAGCATCCCCAGGGAGGGTCATGTGTTGAAACAAGATTTTTGTCCAAGTGTGGTACAATCAAAGCCTGTGTCTATAAATAGCATTTTTCTACCCAAGTGTGTTTGAGCCAAACCAAACCTTCAAATCTTCTGTCCCAAAGAGCCAAAAGGGATGAAGAATTGGGAACATTACCCTGTTGTTGTTTTAAGACTTGACTCAGAGGAAATGCTGTCACATATCACATCATCACACCCAGTTTTCTCTTTCTACGAAGCAATACTCAGTTTCCACTGATTTGGTTTATAATAAATACAAAACACAGCTCACTGTAGCAAAACCCTCCACCAGAGAATGCTGTATACTTTGGTCACAGTTCTGATGTAATTTAAGGGTTTATCTGTCTGCCAATGAGATTATGGGAAAGCAGCAGAGGTATAGCAAGAAAATGGTGATGAGGCATTCTGATATTTGAAAATGGATGAGTTTCCCAAAAGAAGAGCATAAAACTCTCTGGATCAAATTCAGATAGAAAGCTGGCAGGTTGCCAGATTTGTAATTGCATCTTGAATTGAGCTGTAATCCTCACCACTTCTGGAAACAATAAGAATGAGAAAATGATAAACCACATTCTTTTTAAATAGTGCTGTTTGCTTAGCATTCCTAATAAAATATTTTCCTGACACTTCAGTTAAGGCTGGAGAGTTACAAAGGGAAAATGATATGTTTTTGTGTGGGGAGTTAAAAAAGAAGATAATGTATTTTGTAGTGGGGGGTAGAAAATTGTGTATTTGGGGGCAGGGTTCTTATTTGTGAGGGACAAGGCTGTGTGTTTTGTTTACTGTAAAATAGAAATGGTTGTGTGACTTTAAAAAAACAATCTTTCAGATTTACAACATATGAGTGCAAGGTGTTTGTACATAGCAATGTGGGCTTCACACCAACTCCAGATGCGAGTGTGACAACGTTGTTGGGTCTTTCCAAGAGAGGAGCCAACCTCATGGCCAGTGTTCTCTACCACAGTGCCATAGGCAAGAGATGGCCTAGAACAAGTGAGTACACTGCTCATGTCTTCATTTCTCTTCATGGATTAGTTCCAAAATGAATAAAAAATAAACATGTTGAGAATCAGAATATACCAGATGGGAAGGGGATTCATGATACATGGATCCAATAGCTGGGTCAGTAAGTGGGTGCAAGTAGACCACTGGTGGTGGGCATGGTATTTATAGCATATGCATTTATCAAGGTGTGAAACCTAAAACTAAACAGTATTGTAAGCAAATATACCTCAACTTAGGGGAAAAAAGAAAAGAAAAAGGAGCTCAGGAGATGATTACTAGCATTTGAATAATGTTAGGTTAGTTAATAGGATTGTATTGTTGCTAACGAACTCCCTGATTTTATAAAGGTGTGCAATCATGCAAGATTTCAACTTTGGGAAGAGCTGAGTAAAGGTGTATAGGAATTCTCTCTGCAACACTTCTGGAGGTCTAACATTATTTCAAAAGAAAAAGTTTATAATTATTGGGTTTTCAGAAGTCATGATGTATTTTTTCTGTTTTTCAAGCAAAAATGCATCATGACTTTTCCGACAGCCCAATATTTTTGTTAATATGAATAGTAAGGAGTGGCAGTCCTGGTGCTATTCAAAGATGACTCTCTTTCTTACTTCTTCTCCATCCTTATGGGGCCTTTTTTCCCATCTCACATTCCCTTTGGTCTGGGAGTATAGTTTCTGCCAGGCAGTTATGAGTGAAATGTCCATGTATTAATTTATTGCAATAAATAGCATGTTCTTTCCTATAGGCACAGGTCCCCAGCCCCGTCTCATAACTCACCACTTATTAGCAAGACTCCCTTACTAGGTGTGTGGTAATGTGGTTTTTCTGAGTGAATCACTTTCAGCATTGGCTAGAGAAAGAATTCCAGTTTAATACAGTAAAATGTAGCCCAAACAATACCACTGGCCTCACTTCTATAATGGACAGCTCACCTGTCCCCATTCAGATCACAAGGTGTTACTAAGGGCTCACACACAGGCCTCCCACTTTACAAACAACTCTAACAGCAAGTTCATATCTAGTTGATCAATCAAATAGCATCTAACAGCTGATCTATTCATTTGCACTGCTCAGTATCACAATCAAATAAAAAAAAAATCACTGAAGTTACCAAAGAAATATATATATTGTAATCACCAGAGCTCTGGCAAAATAGTTTGATCAAAACATCAGAATAAACCAAATACTAGAAGTATATCTATTGGGGAAGACTTAATGGAAATATTTATGAAAGAAAATTCTACTCACCCGAGTATACATCCATTATTCTATAAAAAGATGTAAAATAACTACTAATTGGACAATAGTAATCATGTGATTTCCATCAGCCTTTGAGTTTTGTGCAGCCTAAGATGACAAATGTCCTCTGTTTCATTTAGAACATCTGAGTGAATTTTCCCCAATGTTGTATGGACTGTGAATTATAACCAGCATTAGGTGATATTAATTGTAAATTAAAATCAGTACTGTTTAAGTTCATGTATGTGGTCACTAAATAATCCACTTTTCCAAAAGACTGTCACTCTGGGGTTTTGATAAGGTTGCCAGTTTCTTCTGACCTGTGTCACCTCTATTGGGATTTCTTAAACCATTTAAATGGAAGAATATAAGTTAATTGATGCCTGTGACTACTCTCTGAGGCATCTCTGGGGAAAATACAAAGTTTGTACCTGGCAATGGATTTTTATGTGTAATATATTTTCCCTCACCTCCCTCCCCCTCTCTCTCTGTCACCTTCACCAACTGATTCATCTTAAAAGCCTGCTCATAAAGGTGGACGCGCTCCCCCTCAACTGACATTTGAATACTTCTGTTCAGATGGGCTGCTGAATTTTCACCAATACAGGTCCTTTATGTTATAATAGCATGCCTGAAGTAAGCTCGCTTATAAAAACTGACAGAGCTAACAAATCTGAAGCAGCTCACTGAAGCCTCATTACCTTGGTAATCTGAACCTCTGACCTCCAGGATGTAGATAATGCAATCTGCTGTTATTTCCATTCATACCTTAGAAATTTTTCAGATAACTATTTGTGAGCACAAAGGTTAACTCTCAGAAGAGGGTCAACTCTGCAAAAACCTGCTGCTTGGTCGTGTTCTTCCTCCATGCCACCTGCTCTCCTAAGTGAATTACCCGGTCATTCCTCTTGAAAAGGCCACCTCATCTTTGCAGTTTCACTTTTAATTATTTTCTTGGTTTGTAGACTAAAATTGGCGCAGAGTCTAAAATGCTAAAAGATACCCAACTGTAAGTTGAAAAGCATATGAATAAATGTCTAAATATTTGCTTATTAAAATTTACCTTTCAGAAAAGCCACAGCATGTATTTTTAGAATACATGCTTCTTTCTTCACTACGGCTCCATTTAAGTACCAAAATTTTTCCGGTAATTTTTTTACCAATCGCACATTCACAGGATAAGTTATTGGAAATTTCAGAAGGGCCCACGTTAAACATTCACATCACTTTATGCTGTAATGGGAGGTCAAAGCTTCCCTGCATTTCTTCAGTTCATCTTTCTGGGCAAATATTACCAAATGGCAACAAAAGCTATATTTACTTCCTCATTCTCCATGCACTTTTTATTATTATTTTACTAATGTTCAGTATTATTTAAATACTATTTAAGTGGCATTTTGTCAATATCCAGCAATCAGAAGTTTTCACATAAAGACCATTACTTTTTGGATAGGTTTGAAAAATCAAGCAATTTGATGAAATTATCCTCATATTGCTGGAGGGGAAACATCAGGCAGCCCTGAGTGACCACACACACCCCATCTTCCTTGGTCCCTGAAGAGACAAGAAGTTCTTCCCACTGCTTTATATAGAAAAAGAAAATATCTCAACCTAAATGAAATACCTTGAAGATAAATTATATTTGGGGAGGGCGGAGGGAATCATATTTTTATAAGAAGAGATGCAAAAACACCTTCACTTAAATTATTCATACAATCCCCAGAAAAGCCCTATGAGATTGAAACTGGCACATAGTAACTTACCCAAATTGTAGTTAGTAAGTAGCAGTTCCCAAACTCAAATGTGGGGCTCAGGCAGTCCATTTTCAGCTATTTCATGTGCATTTTGGCCTTACTGGTTATAAGCACATCGCCAGGAGTGATTTATTTAATAAGATCCTTCCCATTTTGACTGCTCACTCTTAAATAAAAGGCAAAATGAAAAAGGACCCACCAGGGAGAGCAGGGGGAAGACCCCTGCTTCTTCTAAGGTCACCTGACTCTGAGCAGTCATAGAAAAGAGCAAGAAATCAATTGGAGGTGGAGAGAGAGGGAAGAATGGAAAAATCAAGAAATGCTGTTCACTTTCCCAACTGCCAAGAGCTCACCCCAACTGTCAGGTGGTGTCACCCCCATATCCCATAGTCCTCCTTCTTTTTCTCTACCCTTCCTCTTTTATTCCACCTTTCTTCTTTCTTTTTCCTCTCTGTGAAATAACATCTTTATCATTTAGTAATCATTCAGTATTGAAAATATTCTCTCTCTTAAAGATCCATGGTGCTTTCAATGGCAATTTTATAAAAGATGAAAAAAATTGGGACGCTGTTTCTGATGAAAATTATGATTTAATTTTGCAGGGTATTCAGGTAAAAGGATTTACACAGTGGGTAGAAGATATAGAAAGAATTTATTTTGCTTTATAATTATCTGACTTGGCTAAAAGGTAGAACAACTAGCATGGTTAGTGGTAGTCACTAACACGTTATCACCTGGTACATGTTCATGTAGTGGTGGTGCATCCCAAGTCCACCGATCTAGAGACTTCATTTACCAGCCTTTGGAGTTAGTTGTGGTCATGTGACTGTATTGGTGTAACAAATATGTCTTTTTAGGTCACATCCAAAAAGTGCATTGGGTACGTGGACAAGAAGGTAGACTTCATAATGTCAGTTTCAATTCTGCAGGTGTGGAGAACATTGTACGAGATCCAAAACACAAGAGAAAGACTCTGGGTCCTTGAATGACCACATGGAGCACAATTACTTCAGGGCTATTATGTGAAGTCTAAATTAACATCTATTCTCTCTCAATACTTTATTCGGGGACTTCTTGGTGATAGCCATTTAGCTAACTAACCCAGTCCCTGTTTGCTCATATCAGTTCACTTAAAGAGCAGAAAGTAACTATCCTGTTTTCATAACCAAATAGAAAATGATGAATAATTTATACATCTCATATATGATCTCCTTTAAATACAGTTTTCTCTGGCAGGCTATTGCTAGGAGATGGAAGGTAGCTAAGGAGTTTTTAAAATGCAATCGTTTGTTCTTGACTGATACACAAATCAGAAGACAGGAGATAACTCTTTGGAAAAATTGAGGAGCCTGGCTTGGATCTTCCCAGTTCTCCATGTGAGGAATATCACCCTCAGGCAGAGTATAAAGAACTTTTTCTCGTGGCAGCAAGGGGTTAAGACGCAATCTGTGAAGCTGTCCACAGCCTCTGCAGCACAAGTTCAATCCCCGGGCGGCCAGGGAACAACCCACATGGTACAGCAGACCTCTCCTGTGTTGCCCACTGCTCCCCTCAGCAGTGTATTTCAGTCAGCCTGCCTGTTCTGTTCCCCACTCTGTCTCTGGTGAATCCTCTCACCCCCATAACTGCTGGCCTGTACCCCAGCTCTTGTATGTATAAATAAATATATCTTTTTTTTTCATACCTAACTCACTGGTTTATTTTAAAGATCACATAAGAAAATGCTTTAAAACTGCTACATGAAACATAAATGAGACCACATCATAAGTCTTCTTTTGATCAAATTTGTTATTATAATTAAGTTGTTTGATAAAAAAGAAATATGGAAAATCTTCTATTATATTTTCATTACTCAGAATTAATAATTAAAATTAGGAGATAAATGTTTTATTTATTTTTATTTATTTTTTTAAATTTTATTTTTATATTCCCCATACAATTGCAACCCCCTTATTTTGACCCCAATCCCGCCTTTCCCTGCCCCCCACCCCCCATAGAGTGTCTCTGGTTCATAGTTGTTTGTTGATTTCGATTTTTTCTTTCTTATAGTTATTCTTTTTCCTTTTTCTTGTTTAAGTTTTCTAGATTCCTGCTATGAGTGAGACCATCCGGTATTTTTCTTTTTCTTTCTGGCTTATTTTGAATAAATATTTCTTTAAAAAAAAAAAAGTAGGCTTGATAAGGTCAAATGAGTTGATTAGCTTTGCACCATAGAAGTTGGAAAATGGAACACTAACAAGAGAATATATGAGCAAGGTCAACATTTCTGACCATCATAGCTTATCGTTTTAACATCTAAACAAAATTACCTCCCAGTAAGATAGCTAATGAGAGAGAACAGAAGAATTCAATCCTACAATGTAAGTTAGGAGACCTACTGATTTGAACTAAACCTCCTATTTATTTTAGTTGCTCTGGACCAGGGCCCAAAAACTGTTTCACTTATTTTTTATTTTTTTAAAGATTTATTTATTTATGCATACAAGAGCTGGGGCACAGGCCAGAGGTATGGGTGGGGGAGTGTGAGAGGGCTCACCAGAGACAGAGTGGGGAACAGAACAGGCAGATTGACCGAAGTACACTGCTGAGGGGAGCAGCAGGTGAGTCAGGACAGGTCTGCTGCGCCATGTGAATTGTTCCCTGGCTGGCCAAGGGATCGAACTCATGCCACAGAGGTTGTAGAAGCTTCATAGGTTGCATCTTAACCTCTTGCGCCACCAGGGAGGCCCCAAAAACTGTTTTATAAAGGACTAGACAGTGAATAGTTTAGTCTTTGCAGCCTGTAAGTTCTCTATTGAACTATTCAACATTGCTGTTGTGACACAAAAATGGCAATAGATGACACTCGACCATGAATGTCAGTGTTCCAGTGAACATTTATTATGAACACTAAGTGTTGATTTTCATATAATTTTCACATGTCACAAAATGTTATTCTTTATTTGTTCTAGTCATTGAAAAATATAAAAATCATTCTTAGCTACAAAAACAAGTTTGCTGAGCCATAAGCTAGTGGCTAGAGAGATAGAGAACATAATAATTATATGATAATCTTTAAAATAATTCAAGAATATATAAGGAGTATACCTAATTGCTTTATGTAAGAAGATTTTCAACAAGTCTATCTAACAACAGTTTTAAATTATTTGGGAATCCATTCCAATGGCATGGATGGTAACTGTTCTATATTTGAGAACATGCTACGCTAAGTCCAAGATGCTGATCAATGAATGGAGATCACCACCCACAATGACATTTACTAACAAAGATTGTGTCTAGAGTTCATAACCTTTTTTCTTAAACTCACTGTCTTCTATTTAAAGTGTCATTGTAGGAAGATGAGAAACAGAACTAAGGGGGGAGATGGAGAAATTGATAGAAGAGAAGGAAAACAGTAAACTGGTCATTGAAAAGATAAGGGTTACAGAACTTAAGAATTATGTTTATAAGACTGTAAATGATTCATGTGGGCATCTTTTAAGAGCTAGTCTACATCCTAGAAACATATTGACCCTAGGAGGATAAGAGAAATGTGAATAAAGGAATGCCTTGGTAAAAATTCCATTACGGGGCTTCCCCGGTGGCGCAGCGGTTGAGCGCTGGGTTGCGAAGCTGCCTGCAGCCTCTGCAGCCTCCCCAGCTGCTCCCCGCCACCGGAGGAGGGTCCCACATGGCGCGCAGACCTCTCCTGCCGCCCGCTGCTCCCCTCAGCAGTGTACTTGGGTCCTTCTGCCTGCTCTGCTCCCTGCTCTGGCTCTGGTGAATTCTCTCGCCCTCCCGTGCTTCTGACTGTACCCAGTGCATGTATAAACCAAACAAACAAATAAAATAAATAAATAAATTTTTAAAAAACGCCTCTATTAAAAAAAATAAATAAAAAAAAATCCATTACGACCATGTGTCACTTAATAATGGATACCCTTCCTGAGAAATGCTTCCTTATCCAATTTCATGTGTTTTCAAATATCAGGGTGTAACTGTGTAGGTCTAGATGGCACAGCCTACCACATAGTCCGGTGATATGATCCAGTCTCTGAGGACCACCATTGTATATGTTGTCCATTGTGGATCCCATTAAGTGGCACATGACTGTTTTGCCCTAGGATTCCACTGAGTAAATCCTTAAGAATGCGCCATATAACTCTGCTACAATTACAGTGCATGTAAAAGGATGTCTATCTCACATTCTTATAGGTATACTTAGCAGATTTTGTTACCAAGTTAAAAAATGCCTCATGTTCTTGGATTTGTGTCAGGAAAGGCCCTTCTCTATCAGATCTCTCCAGGATCATGGGATTTATGAGCAATTCTTAATAAAGTACTTTTTCATAAATTTCCTATCAAAGTTTTGAAGATTAGTTGAATAATTATAAGCAGTGTAATTGAAACATGTAAAGGATATTTAAGAGTTTATTTTTCTATAAAGATAAGAGTATATTTGAGTAATTATGGGATGAGGGGGCTAACTTTCTTTAAAAAATAAAACCCTGCATTACCACCAAGAAGTTTCCATAAGCTTTCTTTTATCCCATTCTAGAAATAGGTAATGATAGTGTTTATTCTGTGTTTTTCCCCTGAGACCCTTTTCAGATCAGCCACATTCACAGTGTTCTGCATTTATTGTTAACAGCTTTTCAAGACCTACAAGATGATGTTGAATATTACACACTTTTTTGGAATTCTGTTACCTCAAATGAATCTCTCAAAATCCTCCCAGATGTAAACTCTCATGTCATTGGCCACTTAAATCCAAACACAGAGTATCGGATTTTTATCTCTGCATTCAATGGAGTTCACAGCATCAACAGAGAAGTACTTCAAGCAAGCACTTATGATGGGGGTGAGTCCAGATTTCAAGGGATGCTCAGCTCCAGAGATGCGAATGAAATTGATTGATTCTTGCCGAGGTTGAGATCAGTCATCCCTCCATTATAAAATTTCCGGTGTTGGAGGGAAGGGGGTCCGGGCTAAAATGCTTAAGTGCTCACTGTCATCAAGTGGCAGATCAATAAGTGATCCCATTGAGACAGCGGCACAGGCTCTAATAATGGAATATTAGCCCAGTCTGTTCCTGTTCTTTGCAGTGGATGCTTAGTTTGGAGCTGAGTTCACATCAATAAGTGGTGACATTTAGAAACATTTTTTTTTAAGAGTTGCTTGCTCTTAGAAGCAATATGCTTTTCAAAACGACAGCCAAACACAGTGAGGGTCCTGTCTGAGTCACCAGAAATGGTAGGTGGAAGTTCAGTCACTGAGAAAAATTGCCTCTGACTCATTTCTAAGCCAGTTAGCAAGGGGGAGGAAGCAATGGAAGCAACTTGTGAATCTGAAATGTGTTTGGAATGGTCTTTCTAATCTTTTTGGCTTTATAAAGTCTCATTATAAACATTATAATATCATTACCTCCCAAGCAAGTGTTCCAGGTCATTAGCAGAGCACTTTAAGTATGGAACCCATTTCCCTTTGTGGTGCCAAAGGTCGACACCTTTTGTTTATAAAATAGAATAGATCACAAGGACAATTTTTCAACTAGTTAAGATGGGTTCTTATGATAAAAATAGGTCTTTGCATAGTTATTTCTGACATGCTTGAATAATTGTGTAATTTAACGCCAAGCAAGATTTTTTTTCTAATGTTAGATTTCATCATTACCTATGGTAATCAACATTCAAAATCATTTACATAATGACAATATTGCATTATTGCTTCATATTGCTTGAGTTACAAGCTAGTAACATCAAATGATTTTTCACGTTCCACCAGCCTCAATGTATTTGAGTTTCATTTTTTGCTTAAGGAGCAAATTTCCTTTCCTTTTTTTTTTTCCCCTGGGAGGTATGGACTGAAAGGATGGGAAAAAGAGACAAATAATAGATATGTGTTAGTGGTGCAGGTGGGTGAATAATTTATCATCATATCCCACTGGTCACGTAGTATTGAAGATTAGCACTATGCTGGTGGTATAAAGCATTTTACCACCAATTCTTATGGTTTCTAACTGAGAATATAATAAGCCAATTTACAGAGAACTACAGACTGTGATAACTTCATCAGAGGAAAGCAGATAAGCAAAGAACCCTTGCTAAACTGAAAGACTAATCTGCATTTGGTTTAACAAGTGCTTTTTCAGAGACAGCTGGAGTTTATTCAGTTTCTTCCTTTAATTCTAGAGCCTCAGGGCATGCTTCCTCCAGAGGTTGTCATCATCAACAGTACAGCTGTACGTGTCATCTGGACATCTCCTTCAAACCCAAATGGTGTTGTCACTGAATATTCTGTCTATGTAAATAATAAGCTCTACAAGACTGGAATGAATGTGCCTGGGCCTTTCACTCAGAGAGACCTGTCTCCCTTCACTATCTATGACATTCAGGTTAAAACACTGTTTTTTGATTGTTAAGCTCATGGGTATGTTAAATAAAACATGTCGGGCTACGTCTCTAAGTGGATATCTTCTATCTTGGGTACAGATTATATATATCATGGGGTGGGGGAGCAAAAAAAGAGGGAAATTAATCAGAATTAAATCTGTTTGTTATGGCAAACACTTGAGTCCCTAGAAAGATGTTAATGGTGATACAGAAATGATGGTGATGATATTCTCGCTGGCAAAATGAGGCAGATCACATATTTCCAATAAATCTTGCCAAGCAGTTTGCCTTTCTCCTGGCTTTTTCATGGATCAAAATCAGAATCAGTCTATGAATGTGGAGACAATCTCTCTGTTCCTAATTTTTACTAATTTAATAACTTCAGGGAAGTCATGTGCCCTCACTTGCAGTCTCTGGCCTCTTTTGTAAGCAATATAGACTAGGGGACTTAAAATGTTTTATTTACCTCTAACATCCTGTGTTCCTGAATGCAGCCAGAAAAGTTAAATGGAAGACAAAAATTATTAAAAGATTTTCCCTGAGGAAGAAAGAAATATATCAGTTGATCTGTTCATATCTGACTGTCACCTATGTGAGATCAGTTGTGTTTGAATTTTTTTGCCCTTGGACCTCTTTGAGAATCTGATAAAATCAGTGTTCCCTTCCATAGAAAAACATGTATGTGCTTTTATGACAAAAGTTAACATTTTGAGAGTGCATTGACTGTCTCAGTTCTCACAGACCCCTTTGGGAACAATTGACCTTAAAGAAGAAAAAATATAGTGGATACTAAAGCATGGAAGACAAGGAACTTATCCTCAAAGTGCTAGAAATCCTGTCAGTGTTCTAAGATAGAAAAGAGAACACAGCCAAAATTATTGATTATAATTATCAATTATTGATTATAAACAGTGTTCCAGAAGTCAGGGTTTACAGAAAAGGATTGCAAGTTAATAAACTGTGCTACATCTGAAATTCATAAAAGCTTTGTAAATAATTTTCAGAAAATATTAAGCACAGAAATTTTACCCACAGAAACATTTTACTGACTCCCCGTTCATTTAGTAGTGCTACCTTCCTCAGTTTCCCACTCCCATTCCCTCCCCACCCCCAACATTTGAATTATCTGGCACAACCAATGTTTCTTCCATTACTAGACCTGACTTCTGAGAAAATGAAATAAAGAGATTCTGTGAAGAAAGGTGCATTAATGACTTCTCCTTATACTCCATGATTTCCACGACCCCACTGAGTTACCTTAGCATGGAGCATCTAGACTCGTGTTTAGACCCCTGAGTCTTAGAGTGAATCCATGTATACATCCACTTGATTCTAGATCAAATTATGCAATGAAAATAACATTAAAAATTATTGCAACTATAGCTTTCTGAATAAGATATGAAGCATAGGAAGATGATTGAACATTTGCTGTATTATCCTATTGGGGCTCTGGCAGAGAAAGTGGGATCCTCAAAAGGCATGAGGTTCATTTACTTTAAGGACTCAAAACACAATCTTGGGGTAAGATCATAGAGCACCATGTGCACAGGTACAGCTCCAGCTTTCTGACCATGGCGCAAGAGTTGACATTGAGGTGTTTTGGTCATGTTCTAAAAGGAAGATTGCACTCATACCTACTGGTTTGAGTCTAGGGTACCTAAGAAGAGTGCATTTTGACCAGATTAGGGGACATTGAAACAGATAAGAAGATAAAAGATCACATTAGAATTTCTTTCTTAAATTTCATCATTAGTGAGTGAGATGTTCCTTTTCTTGATAACTAACTTGGTTTCTGTGAAACTATTTGCAGCCTGGGAATACTGCGCTTTTAAGAGAGTTGTTGCTAAAAATTTGACTATCAAATCTAAGTGATTTTTAATTAGCTATGTCAAAGATGATTTAGCTACATTTAAAATATGCACTTAGGGCCTCCCCGGTGGCGCAGCGGTTGAGCGCTGGGTTGCGAAGCTGCCCGCGGCCTCTGCGGCGCCGGTTCGATCCCCGGCTGCTCCCCGGCCACCGGAGGAGGGTCCCACATGGCGCGCAGACCTCTCCTGCCGCCCGCTGCTCCCCTCAGCAGTGTACTTCGGTCCTTCTGCCTGCTCTGCTCCCCGCTCTGGCTCTGGTGAATTCTCTCACCCTCCCGCGCTTCTGACTGTACCCAGTGCATGTATAAACAAAAAAACAAACAAACAAATAAAATAAATAAATAAAGCATGCCTCTATAAAAAAAAAAAAATAAAAAATAAAATAAAATATGCACTTAATTGATATGTCTAATATTTTAAAATTAAGATTCTCTATGCTAACCCCCTCTGCAAAAGCCCCAGTGATTTTAAAGCAGACACCTAAGTATCTCCTTTTTTGAGTGGATTCTTTTAAATGCCCTTTTTAAAGGAAATAATGGTCTCAATTTTTTATTCAGCTTTATCTCTTTTAATAGAACTATGGTAAACCTTTTAATTTGTTTTTCATTTCCATTATATAATATAGCTAGTAGCATTGAAATATGTATGCCCCAAAGATAGGGATAACACCAGTAAGAATGAGAAAATTTCTGACACTCTTCTGTGAAGTCAAAATAAAAGCTATCTGGAGAAACATTTTAATACATCTAAGTAACCTAGAACTTATAGCTATGCTTAATATTTAAATAATAAGGCAATCGGGTCCATTAAAGCCCAAAGCAAATCTTTCAAATCTTACCAGTTGGATCATTTCCTAATTTCTCTGACCCTCATTTGCAAACTTAGAAAAATGGACTTTGTGAACTTGATTTAATTATTTGCACACATATTACATAATAAATGCAATGAGGTGATTTTGAGTTATCATATAATCAGATATTTCCCAGTATGTATGAAGTTTTATTATCATTAATTCTTTTATAGTGAGTGTATTTTAAGTCCATCTGCCTTAAGAGGGTTTACTGTGACATACTCAAAGTGGAGGGCCTTGACAATGTTTAATATCTGCTAAATATCACTTGATGGCATATATACAAATACTTGATGGCATAAATAAATAACACAATTTAAAAAGCATTATAGACTATAACCAAGATGAAAATGCATACATTTTGCAAAAATAAAATATGATGTAAAAAATATATAAAATAAAATAAAATTGCTCAAAAAAAAAACATTATAAAAATATGCCTCAACTTTCATGGGCCTACCTCTCATGAATAAAGTAACATAGCTACTAACTACAATCAGAAGCACATTTGTCTGTCCTCAGCTGCCAGGGGAAATACAGAGAACCATTTCACTTAAAGCTCAGTATTGTATTTAAGATTCATCAGTATCTCACTTCCCTCCTCCGTTTATGTATTAGATGCTGACAGCAAATTAGCATTGGAAAAAATACAGTCCCTCTCTGGTTTACCCTTTAATTGAGAGCAGAATGATGGTGTGGCGTGGCCGTTCCTCCAGCAAGCGTCTGTACATCCATTTGTCTCTCCTCCCTCTTGCTGGAGGTGTTCCTTTTGTGTTACTAATGCTTGATGAACCGATTTCTAATCTTTAGTTATTCCACCCTCCTCAGTTTTTATTCAGATTAGGTGGCAGAATTAAAGCGGTGAATGATGATTTTCTGCTGTGATTAAGGTAAAAATACAATTGCAGCTGGAACAAATGGATATAAAATAGCTCAGCCATATTGGAAGGCTTCTTGAGATCTCATTTTTCTTCCATTAGACATTAGCATTTGGGCTATTTGTTGTAAAGTGTCAGGACTTCCAGAAGATATCATCATTACACTACCTGGTTATAGATCTGGAGAGCAGTAGGCTGCGATAACCTATTATGCTTGCAAACTGTCACCTAGGTATCTTCCATTCCTTAACAGTGCTCTGAGTAGATTAATACGTCTGTCTCCTTCTGAGTGGTTGGAACCAGAGACGACACATCACCATTTTAATCACTAAATCAATTGTCCTGAGCCCAGTTCTGCTCTCTGCTCTGAGCTTGTCCCACTGGAGTCAATTAACATCAAAAATTAATATTTATTAAGCCCCAAGAGGCTACAGAGAACTGTAAGAGACTCATATGAAATGAGGGTGAGTGGGGTACAATCCAGGGGCAGTCTGTATTTCAAAAATAGTTGCATTTCTTCTTCCCTAAACCAATTTTGCAGGGTGAAGTCTGCACAAAATATGCCTGTGTGAGAAGCAATGGAACACAAATCAGCACTGTGGAAGACATGCCAAGCGGAGTGCCAACGCCCACAATTGGTGGCATCACTTCAAGGTATAAATTTCTGTTAATCTAAAGATATCTGATCATAAGCAATGCAAATAAAAATCAAAGCTATCACCCCAGCCATGCAAGCTCATTTAATAAGTTACCACACGTATGTATATAAATCAAATTTTCAAAATTATTAGGTGTTGATCTTTGCTGCCATATGCCCTGGCATCTAAGTGTTGATTTCCCTGATTGCCCAGCTTTAGTTCCCATTTCTTAATAATCTGTGAACAAATGCTTAAATGCCAGAAAGAGTTCCTTTATTTAAATGTGTCCTTCAGTGAATCCTTTTGTGAAGCAAAGAGTACGATTTTAACTAGAACGACTACCTTCTAACTTAATCTCTTTGGAAAAAAATTAGATTTACATATATCGGTTTGCCCTAAGCTAGAAATATCTGTAAAATAAATACAGGAGATAGTCCTTGGGAAACCATTGCCAATTTTATCAGATTCTTGGTAGAATCCATTTATTTCATTTTTATTTTTTGTTTTGCAATCTTTTGTTGTTGATACGTGATCACAGTTTTAAAGTGAGTCTTTATGCAATTTAAAATTAGCAAGACAATTTAGTATGATATCCCAAGCCAACATTGAGATAATAATTACCCCCCTACATTCAGTTGATTCTGGAGAAAGAAAATGTGTGTGTCTCCACAACATACTTTTGCCCTGCACACACATATACAGAGGCACGTATACACATGCACATTGACTAAAATAATCGATCTATTATAAAATATTTTAGTACTAAATATTCCTTTATGCCATTGAAATTTCTAGGGCTTTTAAAAATTAAAAATCATTTCAAAAATATCCATATTGATTTTGGGAACTAAAGATTAAAATAATTTGAAAACCCCAAGTTATTGGATTCTTAGCTGTCCAGGATAAAAATGTTATCTTGTCTTCTTGAGGATGTCATCTATCAAACACATAATAAATACTTTCCTAATTTCAGATGTGCTAATTAATTGATAACCCCCTCAGAAGATTGCCCTACCCATCCACAGCATTGCATACTATAGAAAGGATAAATGGGGAGAGAGGCAGCAAAAACCTTATTCTTTCAGCAGATACATTTGTAGCTTTAATCATGGAAGAGGCAAAAGGAATACAAAGTATATGGCATGGTTCTAAATTTTGAAAGGTCTTAGTGATTTTGTTAGTCACTATCCTAACAAATATTTATAGAACAATGTGAAAAACATCATAATAGAGGTTTATAATGTGCAAGAACATAAAAAGAAAAATACTAAACTCTACCCAGGGTCATCTGTGAAGGCATCACAAAAGATGTGATGCTGGACTTCAGATATAAAGAACACAAGGCAGCCTCATGTAGGTGGGTGAGTGTTGTCAAATTTCTAATCTGTTAGCACCCCTGTGATTCAGACCCTAGTGAATGGCATGTGGAATGTATCTTTGAGAATAGATACATTCTTTGTGGCCACAAAGAATCTGTAGACTTTATAAGAAATTAACAAATACCAATATTAGTCTGTGTCTCTGGGATATTTTTCTTCCTTTAATGATATTCTTGTAAATGATAATAGGAAAAACATTGCTCAATTATATAGTTAAGTATTGTTTATCCCCAACTATTAATTGATGACAAAAACATGAAAAACTGTTAACAGGAAGAAAGAAAAGCAAAGGAAATGACAGAAGAGAGATTGCAGCACAATTTTGAAGGTTGTATTTGGCCAGAAGATAATCTAGTGCGATAGAAAAATTTGCAAGGTGTTGCTTGGTAGAGGAAGATAATGACACAAACAAACCATTTTGCCCTGCAGAACCTGGAATTCTGAGAATTTGTAAGCTTTAAAGTTTGTAAAGAAGAGGAAGTTGAGGTAAAGTTCAAAATGGAAATCATGGGATTAGATGAACATCTGGAAAAAGTGGTTGGAACCTGTAATTACTCAGGATTCTCCAGGACAACAGAACCAATAACCCAAGACCCCAAAAACCTGGAGCTGGTGGAGTCCCAGTGCTAGTCTACAGGTTTGAGCATCAGGGTAGACAAGGGAAGCCCCATGCTAGACCTGAATGCAATGTCTTAGCTCAAATAGTCAAGTAGGGAGAGGGAATTCTCCCTTCCTCCACCTTTTTGTTCTAGTCAGACCCAGAACAAATTGGATGATGTCCACCTACATCGGGAGGGCAATCTGCTTCACTGAGTCCACTGATTCAAGTGCTAACTTCATCAGAAACACCCTAGCAGATGCATCCAGAAATAACATTACGCCTACATCTGGGCACACTGCAGCCTACTCACATACACATAAATGGCAGAGTTCAATGTCCCCTCCCTACATGCTGTGCACCCAGTTGTCTATGTCTCTTCCTCCTTATGGCTTTTAACACCCTTAGGAGATCAGGAGGGTGTTCTCTGGAGGAGCTGAAGAGAGGGACACAGGAATTAGGGTTACTATGTGTAATGGAGCATGGGAATGAGGGGCAGAGGAAAAATCATGAGAAAGTGGAATAATTCAATAGACATAGAGACCATGCAGGGTGCAGAGTAAGATGTACACTAACCCCAGAGAGATAAAAACAATTATTTCTGTCTGCGAAGCAAAAGCAGGATACTTGAAAAGAAGAATTTCAAAGGGGGACAGGACTTCATGAAAAATTCTAAGTGTGGAACCTGAATTAAAACTTAGGAAGATATTTAAGGGAATATCTCTCACAGTGCAATGAAAAGCAAAGACATCGAGGAAAAAAAGAAATTATTATGAAAATTAGAAAAAATCCAACATATGAAATATTCAGATAATCAGAGTTCCAAAAATAGATTACCAAGGAAAAAGAGGGGGGGAATCATCCAAGAAAGATAACCAAAGTTACCAAAGTCAGTGTGGGTGAAAGGATTAGGTAGATTAGAAAGGACTAGGTGATTGGCAAAGGAGCATTTAAGGGGCTAGCCTCAGAACATTCCAGAACACCAGATTGACAAAAGCAAAAAGGACAGATCATATGCATGCTGCATAGGGAATCTGAATGATATCATCAGGCTTATGAGCAGAACATCTATTGTTAGAAATCAATGGAACGATGACTTCAAAATTCTAAGTAAGACAACTTTCATCTTAGATCCCATACTCACATATCAATTAAGTGTGGGATTAAAATAAATGATATATAAGTCACGTGAAGAAAAGAAAATATAGATTCTATTAAAAACTGACATAGATGTGAAAGAGCAGCCTAATTTTAGTAACTTCTGAAAAGATTCTGGTTTTCCTGAATTTTTTAAAAGTATTGTTTTAATTTATATACAGTAAAAAATACTTTTTGCGCTCCGCAGTTCTGAATGTTGAGAAATACATTCACATTCTTCTTTTTTTTTAAAGATTTTATTTATTTGTACAAGAACTGGGGTGTAAGTCAGAGGCACGGGAGGGTGAGAGAATACACCAGAGACAAGAGTGGGGAGCAGAACAGGCAGTCGGACCGAAGACACTGCTGAGGCAGGAGGAGTCTGCCACGCCACGTGGTTTTCTCCCTGGCTGGCTGGGAATCGAACCCACACTGCAGAGGCTGCAGACATCTTCACAGCATGGCACTCAATCCGCTGCACCACCTGGGAGGCTCTACATTCACATTCAGTATTGTTGTGTCTTGGTAAATGAACCCTTTTATTATTGTAATTAATTACCTGAGTATGCCTGATAAGTTGTTATTATTATTATTGAGTATATTTGTCTGAGTATATTATTATTATTATTTGTCTGAGTATAACTTGAGTATATTCTGTCTGATACTAATATAGTATATATTAGTATATATAGTATATATTAGTATATATAGTATATATTAGTATATGTAGTATATATTATATATAGTATATATTAGCTTTTTTTAGTAATATATCTTTCTTTCTATTCATGTAACCTTGAGTGATTTGGGATTGTTTCTTGAATATCAGGTTGTGATAATCTGGCATCTGTTCAAATCCTTCCAAGAGCACTGAGGTTTTTCTTAGTCTGTGTCAGCAGGCGCTCATGGCTTAGCTGCAGACTGCAAAGTGCCTGGCCCTGTGTGGTCAGAGGCTCCAAGTCAGTTCATTTCTCCAAAGCCATACCATGCAGCTTCATATGTGCCTAAGCAGGCACTTCTCAGTGGCTATTCTGGCACCTGGCCGGGAGATTATGTGATAGCTCCCATCTCAAAGTCTTTGCTCTGGGCTCCAATTTCCTACCATTTGTGTGCAGCTTTGAATTCCACAGGGACTTGTGTAGGTTCAGACACAAAATTAAGAGATCCCTGGCTTTCTCTTCTCTGAAATTCTCCCACATTTTCCAGATCCTTTGGACTTCATGTCCCAGAGCTCTGTCTAGAAATAGATGGTTTCTTTTCTCTTGGAATGCTAACCTCTAGGCTGCACACAATTTGCATGTTGGGGGCAATGAAATAGGGAAAAACATTAACAGTGATCCTTCCCCCATGCTCCTGGGACCACAGACACCCCTTTTTCTGATATCCCTGGACAGAAAGATATGGATTTCTTCAGGGTTTAGATTCCCATTTGGCCACAGCTGCCACAGTGCATCTCCTTGCCTAGAGTCACCCTCACAGCAGGACCCAGAGGGAAAAAGAGAAAATAAAGGAGGGATTTCCTTCACAGTCTCTGGCTGGCAAGGCCTTTTTATTCTCTGGCCAGAACGCTTGGGTTTCCCACTTGCATTTTGCTTGTCCCAGTGCATTTGCACACCATGGCTGCTCTTGGGCTAAAGGTGGGAGGTAAGAATGGGAAATTATGGGAGACTTTTGGTCCCCTCTTGATCAGCCGATTTTGTTAGCTTTTCAGCATCCTCAAATAGTTGCTGTTTCTGATTTGTGAGGATTCTCCTCTCAATAGGAGAGAGAGACTGTGATAGGTTCACTTTCTTGGCTGGCTTGCAGAGTCCCCCTCTGCCATATTTTCTTTATTTTAATGGTTTGCCACTTTCTTCTTTTTTTTAATGTCAGTGATCTAGCAAAAAGTTAATAGAAATCATT